AGCTTCAACATTTGTTGCACTCACTTCATGCAATCATTAATTTTGATTAGACTTACTGAGCATTAATGACATTCTTTTTGCCAAACATGGTGCGTTAGAGGATGCACACTTCAATGGACGAGAAGAATGAATAGAGTTGACGATTAAAAATGGAGTCATACGGGGATTAAAATCTGTAAATTACTTTGTTTCATAGCATTGGGTGGCGGCAGTTATTAAGGAAAGCCATTTACTTACATTAAACTTTAGAACATTATCATTATTTATGACGCTGGGTATTATTTGGGTATTTGTTTGTTTGACAGAACATACGCTTCGAGTTGCTTAAGATGGACGGTTTCTAAAGTACAAAAAACTACGATGTAGCCACAGTTAAAGATAACCTTGCATGACATAGCCCGCGAAGGTCATCTCTTCATCGTGAGATATCCCTAGAGTTTGGTACCTGGAATTATACCATAAAACTTTAACTCGTAAGAATTCTGAACGGCAAAAAGATTAATTAGTGAAGCCACGTGGAAATCCCTTCTGGCGTTCTTTGCTTTTTCCTGAAAAACTGAAAGAGAAGCGTCTACGATGAGGCAAGTAGGAAATCAATTAGCATGGATCAGCGTAACTCAAAGGACAATCGCACGTGGCATAGCTACGCTTTGTTTGTACACTGTTGAGCCTTCTGAATAAAAAAAAGGCAATAGATTTTTTTTTTTTTTAATTAAAGACCTTCTACTTACATTTATTTGAATAAATCGAGTAAAAGGTTTTGCTATGCGTTCGGCCGAGTTTTTCCTTCAAATTGTGGTGTGCGTCTTGGCGGTTTTACAGAAATGGAGGGCCTATATACATATTTACGCTGCCTCCAATTGGCAAAAGGATTTTAATGAAAAGCTTTTTAATAGCGGATATACACCAAGAGGTTAGTTTGCCGTTTCCCGACAAGGGGTGTTCGCTGTTAGAATTTTTTATTTTTTTGCTCGGACCAGGGATCTCAGCATCCACCTAGGAAAAATGGCGACTTAAAGTGGCCTTCATGATTGTGGAATGTAAGTAATTACCGCAATAAGCAGGGTGCATCTAGGACTTGAACTGTCAAAGAATTCGATAGCATAAGTCTGCTTCATTCGCCACAGTTTGGCAATAAACTATTTTTACCATGAAACGAAGTTATAACATTCTCTCTCCCTCTCTCTCTCTCTCTCTGTCTCTCTCTGATATCGAGGAAAGTGAATGTGTAGCCTTCATCTAATTTCGGGGAATATGAGTCTCTATAAGTACTGAAAGAGTCTCAATGCTGGTCTCCGTGAAACCTCCATCGGGCCAAGTTTATTCTGCTAGCCGGTCTTAGGAACAATCTAGTTGACTCAAGGTATCAGTACCACAGCAGTATTTTTTAAACAAAGTCCTTTTTGGAAAAAAAAATTAGCTTTTTGTTCTATCTGTTGTATAGCGGTAGCGTTCTCAAGCCAAGCTCAGCATTAGGGAGGCCCCAATTGCTCGAGTCATCAGGTGAGGTGGTGCGGAAGGCAGCTCTGAAGCTCCTTACTAATACGCGGTTAGTTCGCAAATCGGCGTAGCAGTTTTCCACATGACTGGCCACCCTCCACGGTCGTGGTGGCATTATTGTGTCGTCTGGAAATTATGCAGAGCCAAAAGAAGGCATTTTAGCACATTCTGGCCATTTAAGTTCAGCTTTGCAGTATCCTTGCCTTGAGAAATAGCAAAATGAACATGTGTGGCCACTGCAAAGGAAGAGGAAACCATAAGCCAAAAATAATATAGGATGCTGACTCTATGTAACCATCCAGTCAACATTCGCGTTCTTTAAATCTCCATGACTCGCGTGTGGCTGGAATGTGAAGTCTCGATAGGGACTCGGGTAGCAGTAAACTTCCCGCCGTATCATTTCTACACCATTGGAAATTAATCTTCAATCTCTTTTTTTACACGTCATTAAAGTATCGTCCGCAAAAACACTAATAACAAATTCAACTGCAGCTTTACGGAATCCTCGCATTTTCCCAGCCCTAGCCAGCTGATGATTTAATGTATTCGATAACTCATTTCGTAAGTTTTCTAATATTGTAGAATACTTTCAATGAGATTCAAATTTAAATTTAAATATGAAGTACGAGTTAGTATTTCAAAATAAAAGTGTAAAGTAGCTTAATCAAAACGAAGATGCAGGCGACTCAATTGAAATTTATTTCTGTTTGTTGCTCGCTTCGATGGCTGAAAGAAGGTTGTGTCTTTTATTTACTTTTGGCACGCCACGCCAAACTTTGAACAGTGAATGGTGTAACTTTTGTTTAAAAGTAAGTGAATAAGTTTTGTAATTTTCAGTTGCCAATGAAGTACAGATAGTCGACGACTGAAAGTGTGTAGGCGGGTGGGCGTTTTGAGAAACTCAGAAGTTACATTACAAAGGGCACGAAAGGGTTTACACGCAGGTAACAAATAACAAAACTTGAAGAATTAAGTAAAGCAATATGCAGATTAACAGTTGTGTGAGCTCATTCTTGCACCATTCGTTAACATACATAAGTACAAGTATGTATATATATATATTATATATATCCACATATCTACAAGCATCTATATATTAATACGCTAACATAAATTTTGTCTCCGTTCGTTTTGCGATTCTTCCGAACCAAGAACACCGTTGGAAAGACATTTTTCCGCAGATGAGCAGAGTTTTTATGGTTTTACAATTGATTGAAAATTACGGCCAAAACCGTCGTTTAAACATTTTCGAATTGTGTATACATGTTGCTGCAACATGTTCAATTTGACATGTTTCGCCTGTTGTTTCAGCACACATTTGAAATTAAGCTTTGAAATAAAGATAAATATGAAGATGAAGAAATAAATGATAACGATGAAGTAAAAAAAAAGAAGACAAAGTGAAGATAAAGACGAAGATGGAGACAATGACAGATACATAAGAATTAGGGTAACTGAAGGAGTAAGAACATTTCTTGAATTTATGAAGTGAAACTTCTTTAGCGGAAGTTGGTTGGTTGGGAGTAAATTGTCAAATTCAAGGGGAATAATGCACATGGAAATGGTTCTCAGCGGTTTAGAGGTTTGAGAATAAAAACAAAAACAAAGATGCCAAGAGGTACAGGCAAAAACGAAGATCAAAGTAAATTTAAACGCTTTAAGGTAAAGGTGAAGAGGAATATGCAAAAATAATGATAAATATAAAGAAAAGGTTGAGCGAGAGGATCGATATTGTTATCGATATAAAACTCGATATTTTTATCGATATAATAATCGATATTGTTATCGATATAATAATCAATATAATAATCGTATTGTTATCGATACAATAATGGATATTGTTATCGGTGTAATAATCGATTAAATAATTGATTTTGTTATCGATTTAGTCATTTATATTGTTAACGATTTTACAATCGCTGTATTTTTCTATATGTTTATGGATATTGTTACCGGTATTTTTATCGACACAGTTATCAACAGGGTTATCGATATACTAATCGGAACATGGAATGTGATCAACTTACATGACATGACATCACATTTTATCACATGATATGAAGAGACATCACATGATATTACATCACATAATATGACAACACATCACACGATATCACGTGACATGACATTATATGATATGACATCACATTATATGGCATGACATCACATGACTTGACATCACATGACATGACGTGGCATCACATGATATGACATCATATGGTATGACATCATATGACATGACATCAGAGGATATGACAACACATTTTATCACGTCATCGCACCTAATCTCATCTAGGTGAATAGAAAAAGAAAAGGATATAAGCAAAGATGTGAAAGATAAAAACAACGATGAAGTCCAAGGTAAAGTTACCGATTTCAAAACCAAAAACACCGTTGGAAAGGTAATTTTCTGTAGATGAGGAGAGTTTTTATAGTTTCGAAATTGGTTGAAAATCGTCGTTTAAAAATTTCCATATTTGTGTATGGTTGTTTTAGCAACCAGTTCAATTTAAGCGGTTTCGCATTTTGTTTTACTTCGTATTTGAAATTTAACTTTCAAATAAAGATAAATATGAAGATGAAGAAACAAGTGATAACGATGAAGACAAAAAAAGGCAAAAGTGAAGATAAAGACGAAAATTGAGATAAAGGCGAAAATGGAGACAATGAGAAATACATAAGAATTAGGTCAACAGAGTTGAAATTTTCCGATAGGAATCGAAATAAAATCAGACATAAAGGTTACTGAAATTTATCAAATCATCGAAGTTTAAAATTATCGAAATTTATACATGCTTATTATCGAATTATTCAAACTGATCAATGTTTACTGAGTTGTCGAAAATTATAGACACAGAAACTTAGTTGTCCAAATTTACGGATAGTTCTCGAGCTATAAAAACGTGTGAGATTAACGAAATTTGTTAAGTTAAAGAAATGTGTCAAGTTATCGATATTTATTGAATTGTCATTATTTATAGACTTAACGAAATTTCTTGAGGTGTCGTAATGCATGGAGTTTAGCGAAGTTTATGGAATTTTCAAAATATATCGATTTGTACTGTATAAGTAAGTTTTGCTACGTGTTTAGTTAGAAAACCTCTCCAAGGCTTCTAAAACTAGAAAAACTGTCGAATTTCGACAGCAACTGGCACTCTAGTATTTTATTACACGCCTTCATTATTATTTATCTGATCTGAAATACGTATTCTTTTTAATGGGAAGAGTAAAGTACATGAACATTAAAAGTTCGTGTGAAGTGGGGGGGGGAATGCGGTTCAGAGCACACAAAACCCTTAAAACACCGCTATTTCAGCGACGTTGCCAGAGATTACTTGCAGGCGTCAGTAATAGATGAAAATGGCAAGACACCTATGTCGGTAGCCTCGTTCTGGAATACTTACTTGACAACCCCAACGGTCAACATCCAGAGCTTGACTCATCGGAATTCCTACGGGGATATCGGAATGTCAAATGAATGGACCAGTTCTCTTACGTACAATTTCCCCGCTGGATGCGTTGCTAAGATCAGCGACGCCTTCGTCGGCTTGAAGCTCAACTACCTCCGATAGCCGGTAGTTGCAGGGGTGTATCCAGCGATTGACGAATGTGAGCTTATTAATGTGGAGTCCCTCGAATAATCCCATTCTTCTGGCCGTTTGCGCCGAATCCCTAAACGCCTAAGCAAAGACTGACTTTGGGCTCCGGTTCGGCATAAGAAAGGCAAAAATGGGAGTTTAGAAGAGGTTAGCCCCATGTCCTCCCGGTTTGATTTTTGTAAAACCAAATACATAAATAAGCTTAACATTTCAGGACGCAGATAATATGAAAAAAAAAAATTAAATAATTAGTAGACATGTGCGTTTATGAAAAAGCTTGGAGCAAAGTAAGCTGGGCCAAAAATTTGCTTTGCAAACCGCTTGCAAATCCGTTTTTCGACATCCATAGAAATATAGCATATAATGCGACTATAAAGCCACTGAAATGGATAGCACAATTGAGAATATCCACAGAACAATACAGAAAATTCAGGAGCAGTTAAAGGGAAGCTAAGCAACAAAGCAATAGAAAGTCATTTGAAAGGATACACACCAAATTGGCCAAAATTAAGGACGAGCTCAATGTGTGACGACGTGTCTGACAAAAGGAAACAGGCTTTCGACGACAAAAAGGCCAAAGGCAAATCGGAAAACAAATAACAATAACAATAGTCATTTTGGCTGATGGCAGCACTCTAGAAAAAAAAAGAGAACAAGAACAGAGTGTTGAAACATCAGCCTGGCAATTGTACCAGTATGGATTATGCGGAATGTATGTATGTATGTTGTGTTTGTTTGCAGTGCAGGCGGTGGCAGTGGCGGGTCAAAGGGCACTCCAACACAATTGCAAAGTTTGTGCAGCGCCTTTGTGTGTTTAGCTGTTCAATCGAGTATGCTGTTGTGTAGCGCATTATTGTTAACTTTTGTGTTTTACGTCTTGCTGCTGGTGTTGCTGCTGCCGCTACACACATTGTCGGTTGTAATTGCCAGTTGCTGTTACTGCTGCCATGAACTCTAAAAACCGACCTGATTATTGCGCACGATGCCGATCTGCGTGAGCATGTGCGTGCGTGGCAAAGATCAACAAAAGAATCGTAATGCCAAAGCGGCAGTTCGCAAAACAATTCAAAAGGCATTGAGTGGCATTGCCGACGCCGCCGCCGCCGTCGTTATTGTGCGCCAACCAGATTGATGCGTGCAACAGATTCAAGGCAGCCAACAGATGAAACAAACAAATTACGTAGGGATGTAAGCAACTCTACCCATTTCCGTTTGAGTGCGAACTTGTGCCTCAGCGGAAAATTCATTAAATGCCCCAAATTCGTGAAAGAAGCATTCCCGTTTGTACATTTCAATTTCTTTCATTATTTTTAGATACATTTTTTTTTTTTTTACTTTGCTGGAGTTCGATCATTAGTGTTTTTATTTGTTTTGACGGTGCGTAAGGTCCTTGACTTTTTCACGGAAGTTACTCATTTCACCCGTCCGCCAAAAATATATGTATTTCGTTTCTCTGTGCTCGATTGGCGTACGGAGTCGTTGCGAATCATTCAGTTTAAAGCTGCTATACGCATTGCTTGTTATTTGTAATTGTGTTCAGTTTTACATCATTTCCGGTTTCATTAAAAATTGTTTACCCGTTGGGAGCTATTAAGTGTTTCCAATAACCAAACGCTATCCGAAAATTGGCCGCTATTGTTTAGTGCTGATGAAAAGATTAATGCTTTTGCTTTCAAAAGGCAATTATTCACGTGAGAGTGGAAGCCATTTGTTTGAGTAGAGACCTAGCATATCAAGTATACATACATATGTCTGGCAAAGCTGGATTTATAACATTTACACAGGCTTGCGAAATTTATGTAATTTGGCAGTTATAACTTTTATTAATTTTCAAATGGAAAAATTGCAAATAATTAGCATTTACGGGCTCAGAACATTGAAGAACTGCCGGAAATAAAACTAAACGCTGTGCATATACATTTCTCACACAGAGTCTTAATTAAAAAAATAGCTTGTCTTGGCTTTCATGATGCTCTTTAGTTACTTTTGTTCATAAGACCGTGCGACAAAAACAAAAAAAAAAATCAAAACACCTGAAAGAATCGATATACCCACGAAACTATGGAACAAATATAGTAAAACTGAATTCTTAATTTTTCACTCTGACGTAAGGATTATTTTCAAATGACCTAGAAATTTTAAAGATATGATTAATTAAAAAAAAAAAATACTTAAAACAATCAGTCCAATGCAGTATAACAATATGGGTAACAAATGAGAGAGAAAATTCTTTAGAATTTAAAAACAATAAATTTTTTTTTGGTTTGCTAGCACGAATATGTATTGAAAATGCGCTTTCAATAAATTTTATATTTTTAAGTTAATAAAGTCTGCAGCACGAAACTCGATGATGAAGTCGTGCATATATTAGTCCTCAAACAAAGATTAAAAAAAAAAAAAATGCAAATTTTCGTAGATATTTAAGGACAACATTTGTAAAGGACGTTTTCCACACCGATGCGTCCTTATGCACAACAAAATTTATTCTGTTATAAATCTACAGAATTTTTTCTTTTATATGATATCCATATTGTTATTCTACATTGCACTGAATTTTTTTAAAAATTTTTTTGGTATAATCAAATTTTTTAAATTTCACAGTCCTTTTGAAAAAAAAAGTTTGACGTCAGAAAGAGAAACTAAGTACGCAGTTATACTATAATTTACCCATAGTTTCGCAAGTATGTTATTTTTTTTGTGTATAAAATTTACTGTGGCACGGTGTTATCTATAAGGATTGAAATTCTTAAGCAGGGATCACACGATTTGAACATTTGTACAGACTTTTACATTTTGGAAGTTTCAAGGTGGTGTTGTCTGGCACTTTGTTTTATTGAGCTAAACTCAAATTTCTAGACAACAGCACTCTGTTACTGCCAAAATATACAAATCTGTACAAATGTACAAATCGTACGATGCCTGCTGTAGACTTAAATAAATAAATAAATGTACATATAATGTTAAGAGTACAAGTCCACAACAAGCTTTCCAGACGTTTTGCTTTCGGCGTCCAAGCTGTAATATATATAGTTAAGAGTATAGTATAGAGCTGAATAGAGCACTGAAAACCTGAAAAAACTTGCAGGGGAGTGCCACTCTAAGAATCACGACTGGTATTTTTTTTTTTGGCAGGTCGACTAAAAATTTGGTGCTTTTCTACGGCAAACAACTTTAGTTGTATTGGCTCCAATGGACTTAATAATTAGTTTGCCGATTTATGAGAGGAAGAACCTTGTTTGATTTCACTTCTTCTTCGTGAAGATGGTATGAAGACCGGAGCGCTGTTTCATATTCATTTCAAAAGCGAGATTAAATTTTCGGCTCAAAAAAAAAAACAAGAGAAATTTAGTGGTTATATTTTTAAAATTTGCGCGTGTATGTGGCCCTTGTTCTTGAATATAAGAGAACAATAATTTACTGAACTTAAATTTAATGAAAAATGCAATTCTGGCTAAGCCTTTTGCAGAACAGTTGAAATAGAGTTAGTGATAGAACTTTTAAGAAAAATATCGATACTAAATAGTAGTCATATAGAACACTCTAAAGAAGCATCGATGCCAGTTTTCATATTCACTTCCGTGCATTTTTTTAAACGGGAGAAATAAACAAAAAATCAGATTGCATTGCCCTTATGACCTCTTCCGATTTGTAAATTTAATACACTCAGACAAAGCTATGGATACGGAAGATTCTTATATGAAATATAGCCGCTGGCCAAATTAGCCGCTTACTTCGAGACATATGCTTTCGGATTTGATCTTCCATTTTTGATTCGCGGGTTTTTTATTTCCCTCCTACTATCTATGCATATCCACTATGCATTTCGCATGAATTACATACAATATTATTTTGCTTTATTTTATTTTATTTTATTTTATTTTATTTTATTTTATTTTATTT